AAAAATGGTATCTTGAAATTCACAGGCAAATGGATGGAAACCATCCCGAGTGAGGTAACCCAGTCGCAAAAAGACAAAAATGTTGTTTACTCACTCATGTATGGATTTTAGATCTAGAGCAAAGAAGTAGCAGCCTACAATCCATAATACCAGAAAAGCTAGGAAACAAGAAAGACCTTAAGGGAGACATATATGGTTCCCTGGAGAATTGGAAAGGGACAAGACATCCTAAGCTAACTGGGAGCATGGGGGAGGTGAGAGGGAGTTAGAAGGAAGAGAAGGTTTAAAGAAGATTCTGGCACTAAGGAAATGTATAGACATCTACAAGGTTGACCCCAACTAACAATCTGAGCAGTAGTCGAGATGCTACCTTAAAAGCCCTTCTCTGATAATGAGATTGATGACTATCTTCTTTGCCGTTCTAGTGCCTTCATCCAGTACCTGAAGGAAGCAGAAACCAACACCCACAGCTAAATGCTGAGCTGAACTCTGGAATCCAGTTGTAGAGAGGGAGGAGTGATGAAGCAAAGGGGTCAAGACCATGCTGGAGAAACCCACAGGGACAGCTGACCTGAACAAGGGGTTGCTCATGGACCCCAGACTGATAGCTAGGAAACCAGCATGGGACTGTTCCAGGCCCCCTGAGGGAGGATGTCCATTAGGAGCCTCTGGTAGTAGATCAGTGTTCATCCCTACTATAAGAATGGACTTTGGGAGGCCTCTCTTTGCCTAGACACACAGGGGAGGGTCATGCTCCAAATGATATGACAGACTTTTTGACGATCCCCCATGGAAGACCTCCCCATCCCTGGGGAGCAGAAAGGGTTTGGGATGGGGACTTGGTGGGTGGCAGGAGAGGAGGAGAGGGAGAGGGAACTGGGATTGACATGTCAAAGAAGCTTGTTTCACCACATCTCTACTCCTATCTCATATCTCCACCCTCCTCACCATATTGAGAGTCTGGTTAATGTGGGAGTTTAGATCATTTAGTACCATGTTGGTGCTCTTTCTTCCTTATTCATGAAAGCTACCACACTACCATATTATTTTTTTCTACGTTTGTATTATAAGTGATTCTTATCTGTTCACCTTTCTGGAGAATGCATTTCTTATCTAGACCATTAATCCAGATACCTTCTATATTCATGTCTCAATATTTTCTTCATTAAACAGTCCTAACAAAAAAACCCCTCAATTTCTCCCATCCTGCTCTTCCTAAAATCAACTAAATAAAGACATGCCTGCACAGTGTGTGTGTGTGTGTGTGTGTGTGTGTGTGTGTGTGTGTGTGATTACTTGCTCTCTTACTTGTGTTTCCTGGAATGGTTATCTTTGTTCTCTACAATCAAAAATTCTAATACCTACATAGTAGACTGGTTTTGAACTATATTCATTGCCAAATCCTCCATAAGGAAGGCTCAGATGCTCACTACAGGGCATGGAGGAAGTGGGCAGCAGATAGATTAAGATGCACACATCATATTTAAATACAGGTGCTTTCCCATGCTTATACATGGTTAGTTTATTGAAACTGAAGAAAGATTAAATGACTTGCTCAAGACTGGTGGCAGGTTGAGTATGACTACCAAGGTCTCTTGAATTTTCTTGTTTCTCAACCATTACTTGGTTATTGTCTTGGCAGAAATTTTAGGGAAGGCAAACAAATCTACTATATGCACACAAGCGATTTTCTGTAATATTAAATTACAAAGTTTACTTCCTATCATGATAAAGGCCATTTAGACGATAAGTATCTTCTTCATTCAATCCTAGCTTTTAAGTAGTCTTACTATACTACCATACTTGATTTTACACTTAGACAGAAAATAGTTTTCATTTATTGCTATTGTTCTCACTAAAATAATGTTGGCTAACTTCAGAAAGTTTCAGATTGAGTCAGGAGATGGCTTTGATTTGCAGATATTCTTTGAAAGTCTATTAGCTCTAATTTGAGAAAACGTATCTTTATTGTCAACTAGTCCATTTTCTGCATGCAGAAGTTAAATATTTTCAAGATTACTCTGTGCACATGCTTGAGACAATTATACAGCCCTAAAACTGAAGTCAGACCCTGAAGAACACATTCTTTTCACTACCTTTTTTTTGCTTGACCCTTTCCTTTTGTACTGTGAGCCATTTGGTTCAAGTGAAAGGGAATCCATATTGTTTTCTGTTCTGGAACATTCTGGCAACAGTGTATACGAAAAGTAAACGAAAGAAGGAGTAAGGGATATAGCCTCACCTTTTTTTAGGTCAATTATTTCTATGTTTTGGTGGTCTGCTAAGCAATCAAATGCTTTTGATCATCAAATAATTTTAAGTGAATTAACTGTGTGTTTTGTAACCTCTACTTCATTTGAAGATGATTGAACAGTAAAAAAAAAAATGGCCTGGAATGTTTTATGACAAATTATATTTGTAAATACTGAAATGAAATAATATGGAATGTTGATGCAAAATACAACAATTTGATGTAGTTTTGTGCATCACAGTACATAAACTAGCTAATTTTCAACTTTTAAAATTACAGTTCTACCAACAATCATTTGACAAGACACAATAATCATTTACAATGTGGTTTTGGCAGTAAAAAACAAACAAACAATAAAAAATGTCTTTTTGAATTTACGGTTTTTTTGTTTGTTTTTACCTCTCCACAGTCTAATAGTACAGTTGCTTTTCTCTAATCAACTTTGTTTTACACATCGTGCTTAAAAGCAAACATCTTCCATTTGCTGTTTTCAGAGTTATCTCATACTGAGGTTTTGTTTTGTTTTGTTTTCTTTTACTCACTTTGCAGTCACAAAATGAAAATGTAGACACCATGTACAAACAAGAAGTTCGTGCAAAGTCAAATTTTCAAAACCACATGCAAGTCTCAGCGGCACATGGCTTAGAGCTCACACGCTCCAGGATCATGTAATACTGGCATGCAGATGAGAGGAGAGAAAAGCACCTACATCATGAAGAGAGGATGATGAAAGAGAATGACATTTTCTTTATGACAATTATCTAATGCAAACCGTATACCCATAACCTCTACCAGCATGGGAATGGGGCCAGAGAAGTAAATTTTTGGGGGAGTAGGAAACTACATAAACATAATTGGAGGTCAAGTTGTTACTAAAATGGAGAATTTCTATTCTGTACTTGGCCTCTTCCAGGTTATCTTCCCCAGCTTCTTGCTCTGTTTTTCCTCTGCTATATCATGCAAGAAAGATCAGAACTAACACTGGAAATCATTTGACAAGCTCTAAACCTGACAGATAACAAGGGTATTCTCCACAATTTACACGAGAATTAAATTGGATATAAATACCTCCTGTTCTTACCGGTGGGTGTTGTGATTCCATGTGTTAAGGTGTGAAGCAGACAGGAAAGAGATAAATCTTTCATAAGTACATTGTAAATATGCAAGTGGTATAGAAACCATATTTATAGGTAATAGAGTCAAACAATGATAGGTAAATAATTGTCACAAAATATTTTATCATAAAATGGTCATAAATCGAGATTTTAATGGAGAAGGGAGGTAAAATAAATGACTGTTTTACTACTGTTATTGAAGTACTCTGGCAGTATGAAACAATAAAATTGAGTGACACATATTTTAATTAAATATTCTTGACACTGCTTAAGCCAGCCCAGCACTAGCGATTCCCCAGTGGTTTCGAATGCTGGTATCTTTGTTAAACAATCACTGTAACAGTTTATAAAGCAACCGATATATAGGTGCTCTTTCTTACAAGATTAAAATCATCTTAGACGAGATTAATTTATTAAGAGGATTTTTCACCCTGAACTTTGGGACACCTGAAAATAACAGCTCATAGGTTTGAGCTACATTTCTTTGGCTCAAATATACTCATTTAGTTCTTTTCAAATTAAAATTTTTAGGATAATATGATTTTATTTCTCAGCAAATAAATCACATGCAGCTATGATAAATTTATCTACATATAAATGTATCTTTGAGTTGGCAGCAATTGTTCTATGGTCTTCACCATGATTTCTAATTTTGATGCATTGTCTTTTTGGTAGAACATCTCTGGTCAAAGGGAAAATAGCAATCTGAATTGTACATATACACTCACACAAAAATGGCATCACGTAATTGATGGAGTCAAATATGGATGATTTATTTTTAGAACAGGGGAGTGATATGAGGATGTGCTGTGATTTTGTCTTTTCCTATAGCTCTGTAATAAGTAGTGGGGTTTGGCTTTGTTGTATGATTTATCTGTAGCATTACGCTTCTAAAGCCAAACAGCAAAGTAAATTAAGCAATGCTCTTAATCCCCCAAAACTATTCAGTACCCATTCATCTTAATTATGTTGACTTCTATGCAGTGATTCAGGAGGTGCTTGTGAAAGGCTTTTTATTTTTTAATTTTAAATATTTTAAAAGGTGCTAAGGAATATCTGTTCCGCCTTGAGCAGAAAGTCATTAAACCAAGTATATTGAAATGGAATATAATTAATTGTTAAAGGAAGTATGAAACTTCCTATCAGTAAATGCTTAAGGTCCCTATACTTTCCTACAAATACTTAAGATGTCCGACTTCAATAAATATGTTAATCTTGGATCTCTGCTTAGGGTCATCAGAATTGTCACAGTTTGTTTTCTGGATCTTAATTGCTTACGGGTTCAGCAACTTTTGTTGTTATTGTTTATTTGCTTGCTTGCTTGTAACCAGGCCATACCAGGAAAGCCTGAGTTTTAGCTAAGACAATGTTTCCTTGAATTGGAGATGGGAACTCTATGACACATAGTTATATCAGTTTGCATCACGTTATAATGCCTTTGCCACACAGTATAACTAGATATAGCACCATGCAATGCCATGAATTGAGAATGAGACACTATCTCCAGGGGAGAAAATAAACATCCAAGAGAAGGAAACAAAAGCACGGGGCTCAAAGCTGGCGAGACTGGCCTTTCATTGAGCTATAGCTGTAACGCCTGCAGAGCTTCTGTTTTGGGAAACAGAAATACATACCATGTTCATGTCAATGCCGTTGGTGTATGTCCATGCATGCTGGAAATATTCTTCAAGCCGTTGCCTCAGAGGGTTGGGGATTTGGTGGAAGCGAATGAACTCTTTCACTCTCAGCATTTGCATGTGGTACCTGGCAGTTCCCGAGTATAGTCTTTGAATAATTGCAGAAACATTCCCAAAAATGCTTGCATACATTAGGGCTGGATTGGATAAAAAACAAAGTTATGGGGAAACACTGCACTTGGGCATAATATATTTTCTCAGAATATCAAATGTGTTGATGTTAATTATTTAACCCAAGTATGTCAATTTAACCTGATGCTTGGGTAAACCAATCCTTTTTACATTTTTAAAATAAAGAGATGTAAAGAACTCAAAATCATCATGATTCAAAGTAAAACCCATATTGCTTTATGAGATACACCTGCAACCAAGAACATTAAGTAGATGTTCAATACATTTGTGATAAACCATCTTATTTGTAGTAAGCTAAATCATAACTGTCATTGCCATATTTTCAATGAAAATTCATTAGGCAAAAACATCCTCTAGGGATTTTAATACTACCTTTTCAGTAATTTATATAGACTTATCATTATGTTCTGGTGGGCAACTAAGAACAATAGCAATACCCTATATTGTTTTGGGGGTTTCTAGGACATCCCTGACTAACAACACTAAAAGAAGTATCACAAGCATGGCCCTGGACTTTTTATGTGGTGACCTATGGCTTTTGGGAGGAGCATTATTCCCCGTTTAGGCTGACTCAAATTAAAGTTTATGATATGAATAGACAAACACGTATATATCATATATATGTCTACATTACAAAATTGTAGGTTTCTATATGGTTATCTCTCTTCCCACATGATATTGTTGTAGGACATAGAAAGATCAAATTGGTATGGACCAGGGAGCTTTTACCCTGATGGCTGGCTTTCAGAGTATTTGAAAATGATATGCAGACTGCTAGAGGGAAACATTGCTAACAATCTTACTCAGCTGTGAACTCTTAGAGCTAAAATAATAACCAATATGGATGATATGCCCATGGGTGCAATAGTAATGGAACAGTAACCAATTTATTGTCAGCTCCACAGGAGGGCACTAGTGATATAAATCTGGCCAAGAACACATGGTTGGGAAGGTCATATTCTCAAGGATGAACCCATCACCATTACTTTACTAATGGGCATAGTGCCAATCCACTCCCTAAATCTATCTCTCACCCATGTATTAGTGAAACCCTTGGACCTCATCAGCAGTGGTTTTTATTGCAGCAGACAGATAACACAGAAAATCACAATGGGTCAAAATGCAGACAGCCAGTATACTAAGAGTACTCAGCCACAAATGTACTCAGCCATCTACAGTACACTTTCCCCTCCCTCCAAGGCTCAGAAAACATTAAGGAAGAGGAGGTAGAGAGATTTTAAGAGCCAGAGTCACGGAGGATCAGAGCAAAACAGTGTCTTCTAGATTTGACAGGACCAAGTCCACTCATGGACTCACAGGGGTTGTGGTTGCCTACACAAGAACAAGCCAGGTGAGGAAAGAGCTCCTGACAGCTGATGGCTTCTTGGGGAGGGAAAGCCAGTTCTTTAAGGTCATAGATCCTGGGAGATCAACCATGCTCTGGAGAATGACAGTATATCCATGAGTACATGGATAGCACAAATCAGACTTGGTGGGTTATAAAAAAGGTGGGTAGTAACATGAAATTGGGAAGAGAGCTGGAAGAATGGATGGAGCTGGAATGGGTGGAAGGGGGCCATAATTACATTCTATGCATGTATAAAATTCTCCAGGAATTAATAAGATATTATAATAAAAAGTAAAAAATCAATCTTGAGTCGGGCAGTGACAGTGCATGCCTTTAATCCCAGTACTTGGGAGGTGGATCTCTGTGAGTTCAGGGCCAGCCTGGTTTACAGAGCTAGTTCCTTGACAGCTAAGGTTATTACACAGATAACTCCTGTCCTGAAACCCCCGCCTCCAAAAATCTTGAATCAGACTTAAAATACTAATTTCAAAAAAGGACTTATTTCTATTACACCCTGGAATCTAATGCTGTAATAAAACTGTATTGCGAATTTTCAACACTTTTGAGTTTTCAAATAATTGATTGACTAATTTTCTCATGGAACAGAATTTTCTTAGTATGAATTTGTATGTAATTTTAATTTATTCCAATTTGATCTTATAGATGTACATACAAACATCTGTCTTAGAAAAAAATTATATATTGCTTAACTTTTGCCAGGAAAGCTGTACCACATTTTTGCTCATCTATTGGGAGAAAGTGCTATGATACCCATGTACACTCAGCATTTAGAATATACTCATTCATTCTTCTTGGGATAGTGTTTTTTAAAAAATGTATAGGAGTTTTTCACATGTATGTATGTATGTATGTATGTATGTATGTATGTATGTATGTATGTATGTATGTATGTATGTATGTATGTATGTATGTATGTATGTATGTATGTATGTATGTATGTATGTATGTATGTATGTATGTATGTATGTATGTATGTATGTATGTATGTATGTATGTATGTATGTATGTATGTATGTATGTATGTATGCATGTATGTATATCATGTCCACAGAGTCCAGAAAAGGTGTCAGATCCCTGGAACTGGAATTGTAGGTGGTTGTGACCCCTTATTTGGGCACTGGGAACTGAATGCAGATCCTCTGTGAGAGCAACAGGCACTCTTAACCATTGAGCCATTTCTCCAGCCTTTGGGTTAAATTCTTATTTAAAATAAAACGTTAATATTCTTACTGTTTTTTGTTTGCATTTCTAATAATTTTACATGGAGGCACTGTATTTCATATAGAAGGATCACATGATATATTTTCTGCTTATGGGTCTTTGGGAATCTGTCAAGAGCTTTGATGTGGCGATGAAGGCTTCAGGCTCTGGGGCCACATTACACGAGCAGGTGGGAGAAGTATCAAAAGCAACAGCATAGTTTGAAGTGTGAGATTCAACTATGTTCATCCAACACATCTTTTTCCTGAAATGCATTTTCCTGAAACACTCTAAAAGCTTTTTGCTCATGTAAAAAGTAGATTCTACCAGACTTAGGCTCTGCTCCATTAATGTGCTTTCTTGACCTTTTCCTTCCCAGCTGATTTACTTAGCATATCTTACCATGCTTCATTGTAATAGTCTTTGCCATAGATGTTCAAAAAAAGGATGTTTCTGGGAAAGGAGTGATCATCTATTAAAATACATGAAAAATTAGGACATGTGAGGATTAATTTAGGCAACTTGTCTAGGGCAGAGCATTCAAATAATGTGATTGTATGACATTCTATGTCTGGAAGGGTGTGTCTGGTTGAGACTCATATCTCAAATTAGCATTTGAGATAAGTAATGCAGATTGATCTCTCCTTTGTAGGTAGCTATCATCCATTGAGATCAACATCTGAGTAGATGTTGGAGTAGGGGAGTTCACTCTTTTCCTCTCTTACTGTCTAGAGTAGAAGATTAATCTTTGCTTGACTCTGGACTGTACTAACCAAGGATGAAATTATGCCTTGGTTCTCCTGCAAAACTCTGTAGATCACTTCTTTATCCTAGGTATCTGTTTGCTTTTTCTGTGAAAATCTTGGCTAACAGAAGAAACCTAGAGTGAGGCTAAGTTGGCCTGTGTGTGAAACATCAGTGCTCTGCAATGTCCTGTGTGTAAAACATCAATCATTTGCAATGTCAATCAGCTGTTTAGGTTGCTTCATATTTGGAAGTAGCAGCAGGTAGAAATCGTTTTTATTTTGAGTAAACTAAAACTTTGTTAATGTGATAGCATTATGTAATGCAATTGATTCATGTGACTCATGTGAGAAACATATTTTACTCATTGGAAAAAATTATGATATGTAACAGTGTATTTTATGTATCGCTGACTTTCCAAAGTGCCTGTCACATTTTCATGAAGCAGATAGTGAAAGCACAAGACCCTAACAAGCTCTTTTTCCCCAAACTCCTAATATGAGGGAAAGTGGTCAGAAATCAGTTCTTATTGGGGCCATAATGCATGATAGTAGTTTTATCTCTGTGAAAATGTTTCAAAATCCTAACACACAACCAGGAATTGCCTAAACTGTCAAGATGGAAAAAATAGATTGCAAGTATGGAATTGGAAACATAAATGAAAAATTGGAGGATGTCTTTGCTAAATTCTAAGCTAATGAATTTTAAAATCCTAAGGAAAACATGTGGTTTTATCCACTCCATTTCTCTTTTAAAGCAAAACATTGCCAGCTAGAGAAAACAACTTATTGTATTCTGTGCATCTGATTTAGTTGGTGCCCTTTCACTGGCATAGAATATTGGCCAAGTGTATATTGGCAAAATAAACATATAAATGAATAAATAGGTAATACTATTTATATATAGGATTTCCTCTCTTTAACTCAACATTTCATTAGGGCTTCTTCAGTGGAAAGTTTCGATTTCATCAAAATTTTTACTTCAGGTTGAAGTATTAGAGAAACAAAATAAGCATAGCCTCCTTCAGCCCATACCCACCCATAGCAGCACATATTAAATGTTAATGAACTATTAACTTTGCATTCTATCAAAATCACCACAGTTTGCTTTTTTATCTACTCTATGCATTTTAAAAACATGTAAACAAAGGATGAAAATTTTTGATGCATAATAAATGTATAACTAGATGTATCCATTTTAAGTGTATAGTTCATTCAGTTGTGACAAATGTGAACATTCCTGTTGAGATATGAGCTTGTTTTTCCATCCCAGAATCCTTCCTTGCATCATTCAGTTGCCCGTGCTTATTGCAGACATGGAACTACAGACAGGTTTCATCTCTAGGGACCACAGTGCATATTCCATACACAAGTTTGCCTTTTGTTCAGCATAACTCTGAGAACCATTGTGTCTCTCAGTATTTTTTTAAAAAAATACTTTTAAATCATAACGATACAAAGTTTGTTTATATCATCTGCTGATGGAAAACACAGCATTTCCATACAGTAAAAACAGTCAAGAACATTTGTGTATAGATCTTTGTGTGGGCATGTATTTTCTTTTCTGTTTTAAACATCTAGGTGTGGAGTTGCTGTGTGGTATGACTATTTGACTTTACAAGAAATAAGTTGTTTGCCAAACTTTTCTTATTTTATGCTGCAACGAGCATACTATGGCAATACCATTTATTCT